CCCAGCTGTCATTGTTTAATGACAGTTCAGCGTCCCCAGGTAACGGAAGCATATGCCTTCTGCTCGGCTGAGCCGCTCGGCCAGCTTCGGGAGCTGTACGGGCTATAGTGAATAGCCTGTACAGCAGCCCTTCGGCTAGCCGAAGGATCAGCCGGAGCTACGGCTGATCCGTAGTCAAAAGGCTAAAAAAAACCTTTTGACTTTAATATCACTTTAAATAAAACTTCACTGAACTTCCTGTCTAGTTTAAGATCACAAGGGCCAGAGCCGTCTCTAGCAGTTACCCATCACTAGCTTGCAGGAGGAAGGAAGCTTGTGGGGGAGTGGCTTGCCTTACTGTGTCTGAGTTTGTGGCAGAAGAGTCACAACTGCTGTTGGGGGTCTCAGCTGCCGTTGTGATGTGCGGGGTCCCTTGTGCGTCCCTGTGCCTTACGGGGGTTGGGCTGCCTCCTGACAAACCTGCACCCAATTCTATCTTTTGCTACATGTGTTCCAAGATGGAGACTCTCATAGCTTAGAATTAGGACCGCGCTATATAGAGGTGCCTTAGCGCGGCTGTGCGGCTTTCACATATTCTGCAGAAGACGTGTATCTAAACCTCTGTTTTTAACATTAGCGGTGAGACAAGTTTTCTTTGCATGCTGGCTGGTGAGTGTCCTGGGAAAACTTCTTGCTGTTGTACTGTATACAGCCCTTCCATGTGCCCCTTGCTTGAAAGCTGGTTATGAGTTGATGAGTGTGTTTGCCATTTGTTTTGATTGTGAGTTTGTGGAGACACAAATAGCCTGCTAGCACACACAAGGGTGGCTCCATAGGACTCTGCAAGGGAAAGGAGTCACCCTAAAACATGATATCAGGGCCAGTTCATTTTTGGGTCATGATACACCAGTTGAGAACCAAGGCTTTAGAGCTACTGATACTAATCACTGTTATAAATGAAAACAAACTTTTTTCTCTTCCTTTGTCTTACGCTACTCAACATCTGACCTGTCCAGCGGCAAAAACCAGCAAGAAAATTAATGTAAAAAGCTGTGGGATGGCAAATTCTTAAACAGACTACATGAAAAGAAGACCCCTATTTACAGCATTATACAATAAAATAGGCGAAGTATTGGATGACAAGTAGCGTGTTGCCAGATACAAAACCGTGTTTCAGGTGAGATGGAAACCAAGGGAAGATGTGTTTGTCAACACAGTCCCTTCTAAGCTAAGAAGATATTCCAACTCCATCACAATTTTTGTTTTATCCTCACCATATTTTCTAATATTATGTGTTGTAAAAACCTAGTTAAAATATTTTCTAGAGGTGCACCGAAAATGGAAATCTCAAAACCGAAACAAAAAAAAAAAAAATGTCAGGCCAAAACCGAAAATGTGTTTTTTTCAAATTTTAAAAAAATATTTGATTTGTATTTATCTTTTATAAACTTTTTAATTTTTGTATATTTATTTTTATTTATTTATTCATTTTTTATTAAATATTTTTTTTTTTTACTTTACTTTTAGGGGCTGAGCCCCTGATATTTCCCTTTTAAAATAGAAAAAGAGATTGAGGACACAGAGTCCTCAATCTCTTTTTCTGTATCCCCTGTTATAAATGAACAGGAATTCTCCATACTGAGTGTTGCTGTTCATTCATAACTTGTGCACATAGTGTGTATACTATAACCACAATCATGAATGAACAGGAGGTGATGTAGATCCCTTCCCATTCATAACTGAGGATATAGTCACCATACTCTGTCCTCAATTATCTACAAACACTCAGCGATCACAGATCGCTGAGTGTTTGCATTGGCTCTCCTTTCTGACACTCTGTCACAGGAAGGTGCAGGGAGGAGAGCTCAGCCTCCTGTGACAGCGCGTGCTGTCTCCACCCACACGCCGCTCTGCCGGACCATGATAGGAGGCTGAGCGGTGTGGGAGGAGAGACGCCGGCCGCTCACAGCGCTCTGCTCTCACAGCGCTCTGCTCTCACAGAGCTCGGCCTCCTGTGACACTTTCTTTTCTCCCCGCTGGGACACAGAGCAGCGCCCAGTGGGGAGGATAAAAAACCTGGGATGCATCGATGTTATCGGCAGAAAAATGGCACTTTCGGCATTTAGCCAAAAGTGTCATTTTGGCCGATATGTTTCGGCGGCCGATATATGGGTGCATCCCTAATATTTTCCATTAAATTTGGGTGTATAGCAGTTTCTCCCATTTCCGCAGTGAAGGGCTATCTATTGTATCAGCAATTTTAGTCTAAAGAGGTTTAGCACACCCTTTTTCTGGCACCCTTCAGTGGAACAGCTAGACGGGAGGCAAGCTTTGCTTCTAGGAAAATCTTTCTTTTTTCTGGCTGAGGCTATTGCAATAATTTCCAATCCTAATAAGATCATTATTTATAATTAATTTACTTTATGTAGGTTATCATTTAAAGCCTAATGGCAGCCCTGTTATTTTTACTTGTGATACAGTCAGCCTGCGTAACAAGTAAAGAATATGGTCAAACCAATTAATTCCCAATAAAAGCCTCAGAGCCTTTTACTTGTTATGCAGTCAGACTGCAAAGTGTATGGGCTTCATACTGTAAACGCTGCTATGTGTTGGTAGCACACTGGAGAGCCGGACCGCTGCTTTCACAAAGGGCACAATGGTCCAGCAGCCCAACATGCCTCATGCACAGTGCTCCAATCAACACTGCTAAAGGACTATGATCAGTGTTAATTGTAACACTGTGCCGCTGGGGGTGGGGGGTGCGGTCAGATTGCTTGAGATTTGGACCACTGCATTCTGTGAAGGAGCAGTGGTCCGGCTCTCCAGTGTGCTGCCAACAGCTTTACAGTATGTAATCTATACACATAGCAAGAAAACAAACATTCTTTACTTGTTATGCAGCCCAAATGCGTAACAGGTAAAATAATTTAAAGCTTTTATTGGGTAATAATTGGCTTTAATTGGCCTTTAAATGTATGCTCCTGAGGATATACAGGCATGTGTTAAAGTAAATAAAGTAGTCTGTGCAAGGTCCCATTTTTAAGATCCTCCCCCCCCCTGGTCTTCGTAGTGCAGGAAGTGACATCATCACCCTCCAATGAGGTCCCGAGGAACGGTGAGGAATCCAAATCTCACAAGGAGACATTGCAGCACAGTGGTGGGAGTGAGATTGTTCAACTCTACATTCCCCCGCATCTGGCCAGAAGGATGATGACACCCTTCTTAGGGTATCATGGGTGGAAGTTGTGGCAAAGATAAGTATACTAACTAACTTTTACCCCCACATGCTTTTTTTACGGATGCACCGATACCCTTTTTTCGGTATCGAGTATAAGTGCCGATGTATTTTTTTTCAGTACTCGCCGATACTGAAAACCGATACCAGAAGTCCGATTAATTACTCACTGTCCGGCCTCCCGATTAGCTGGGAAGCCATCTCTATGCTCCCATCAGGAGCCGAAGAAGAATGGAGCCGGCTTTCTGCCCAATCAGGAAGCTGGGGGGGGCGGGTAATGACTCGCCGCCTGGCTTCCCGATTAGCCAGGAAGCTGGCACCAAGTGACCAGGGAGCATGGAACCGGCTTCCTGATTGGCTGGGAAGCCAGGATGACGTGGGAGCACGCAGCTGGCTTCCCGGCCAATCAGGAAACCGGGCAGTGTGTACTGACTCGCTGCCCGGCTTCCTGATACCGGAAGTTCTGGTATGGGGATAGGCATTGGGAGCATTTGGTTTATGCTGCTTTTGGAAAGTGTGAGGGGGGCCCATTTAAAAGCAGGCCTTGCATTTTAGCTGTAAGGTCCCCTTAAACCAGAAAATTATAAAGTAAGTTGCACTTTACAAACTATATTTATTTGATGGGAACAACCCAATAAACATACATTACCCTTAATGAAAATGAAGAGTCTGCAAGACAACTCTACTGCAGGAATGTTGACTGCAATATATATATATATATATATATAGATATCT